GGCGGCGGCGGAGGACACGCCGGAAGCAGTGAGTGTCGCATTGCCTGTGCCACCGAGATGGTCATCCCAAAGCAGGCGTACCGTGCGTTGGGGGTCCGCTGTCGTGTTCCACAGCTACACACGCACACGCATTCAGCACGTACAGATGGGGGAGGGATCCCGGCACGTACCCGTACTTCGCCGGACAGTTTGAGAGTGTCGCCAGCCAGGCTGAGGACGATGCCCTGCAGCTTAACCCGCAGCGGCGTGATAATTTCCGTGAGTTCAACCTCTCGCGGCACGGTATCCAGCATCCGTGCGATCAGATTCGTGCAGGTCGATGCAAAGAGCTCCGGTGAGTCGGCGAACCTGCGCAAAGATCAGTGTTGAACGTTGAACCCGCAAGCTAAATCGGACGGCTCACGATTTCATAGTGACGTTCCCGTCGCTGCCAAATATGCGCTTATCGGAGTTGGTCGTGTCGTTTAAGCCAACGACGAGAGGATTTTGAGTTGTGTCCGACATATATTCGATTGCCCTGTGGGGCGGTCAGCACGAAGTAATAAACGTGCCTACGATCTCACACGTTATTGTCAAAGTGAGTGAATGTTGAATCAAAGTGTGCTACCGACTGGGTATTGTTGGGATCGTTTATCTCAGGCACGGTATCCGGGAACGCTGCATGTTGCACACCACCAAAGGTGTGTCTGCAGACGTTAGGCCCAGAATTGTGGGTCTGAATAAGTAAAATACGTACCCGCATGCAACGAGACTGATCATCTCAGTTTGAGTAAATCCCTGGCGAGCGAAGGCCGCTATATGTGAATCCAAGTCCTGCTGGGGCTCGGGCACACCAGGGGCGTTCGGCTCCGTAGCATCCACGCGTCCCCCACGGAAGGCAATTTCGGGTCCTCCACTGCCAAACTAATTAAAACCAACTGGTGTGATGAAAATGAAGACAGAATCACCAATTCTCAATCGCGACGATTGTGCCCAGTGCGAGACTGTCGGCCACTGCGATGATTAGACCCTGTGCAGTACCGTAAGTGCTGTGGACCTACAGCTGACATATCGGTTAGCGATAGTTCGAAGTGCTTGAAAGGTATTATTAAACCCGTCACCGATATTCTGTGCAGATGGGGGTCAGAACCAAGCGCAGGAACCAGTGCGGTGCGCCTACCTCGGCGCGCAAACTTTCTTCCGAAAAGCGGATGGAGGCGTCCAGGCCTCCTGTGCCGTCTGTGACGTTGTGTGTCGCCATATCATGGTACGCCGTGCGAACCCAGGGCCAGTCGGCTACATCAGAACGTCCGGTTTTGCTGGTGAGAACATTGGGCCCGTCGAACAGATACCGGCCACAGGGTTGGATGAAAACTGTAATCGCGCCTGAGTTATGACCATCCTGGTTGAACCGCAGAGATTCGAGAGCGTCTAGCTTCGGGGATGGCCAGACGTATGCGCTGGGGCCTAAAACAGAGAAAGAAAAGAGTGTGATACGCAGCATTTGTGTCGGCGAATTGTTTTGTGGTAGCAGGCTTTTAAGTAGCTATAGGCGTCCTGCATCCCTCGTGGTTTCCGAAAAGTTCGTTGTCATCGAGACAATAGCCGGGAAATGCGCAGTAGCTCCCACAAACGGTTTCATTTGCCATGAAAGATGCATGGAACCGAGGCGACTCACTGGTAAGCGTGCCTGGCGCGACTTTCTGACTGTGGGCCTGGCTCTACGTGTGCTAGTATTAGTAACGGGTGTGAAAAGACCTCGGAATGTTTCTGAACCGATGAACTAGGGAGCATCGGATCTACATACCAAGATGATCTAAGGGGTAGGCGCGCCGCATCCATTTGCAGATCAGGTCCCAATTTTTGGCGAAGCCGGCCTTTGCAGCCCGCTAGGAGGAGGAGGAGGAGGAGGATTGCCTGTGCGGTCCCAAATTGAAACAACAGGTAGCCGTACTACGGAAATGTGACGTCTACATCTACGCTACGGACGCACTTATCTCGCCACCGTTGTGAACAGCCCTGTACTACACCAACTCCGAACTCCTGGCCCTTCTAGGAAAACCTACGGGCAGCACACTCAACAGAAACCCGGTCATAATCAGCCGGGAGTCGCACAAGGGTCCTCCCCCATGCCACATAACCCGTTGGAATGCAAAGTACGGAGCAAGTCAGCACGGACGTCTCACAGTTTTAAGATAAGAACATGATAAGTTGACTGGAAAAATACAAGTACGCCTACTGGCCAACCACCCGAATAAAGTGAGTGCGTGGGATCAACAATTCCTCCTGCTCAAAAACCGTGAACACATCATATACGAAGCGAGCGCAAAGCGAGCGAGCCGTTTTGTAGCATCTCGGCAGCGCACCATATTACTTATTAGCGCTTGGCCGCATGCTTGGCTGATCACCATCCACGGCGTCGGCAGTATTCAATTTTTTCAACCATCCCGAGTTGGCGAGTTGGGGAGGATGGAAGAGATCCAGATGGATTTTCCCCCTGCAAGTGGGTTTTCATCTTATTCATGCAGCTCCGGCCAATTATTTTGCAGGGAAGTGAAGGTAGCTTGATCTCGGCCAATCGGCAGGGTCTCGGAATGTTCCGGTGGCGCCTTGCCTCAAACGTTCACCATTGCCACTCTCATATTCTGCGGAAGTCTTCCGCATCTCCCATCCATCTTTGGTTGTGTCCTGCAGTGTGACCTCCCAGATCTATGTGGAAGATGTCATTCTCGCTTACCTGTGCGGATCGAGGAATCAGGATTCTCTTCAGGCTCTTTTCGTCAATAGAGAATTCGAGGAGTCGAATTGGCCGTCAGAAACATCGGTGCGGCTTTTCCTCGCTGAAAAAACACGATGCATCCTGCTATATAAGGGCTCCGGCGACCCATGAACCGCACTTAATTCTGCCTCGATTCTGAGAAATGACTTCCAAGTTCCACCGCAACTCCAAGCCGCCGTGTTAAATATGGTCAACCATACATATTGACCAGAGCATAAATTCAACACCCTTTCTGGTACGCCTCGGGAACTCTGGTCTCAAGGTGTCCCAGATTATCCTCGGATGCATGTCTTACGGCTCATCTGAATGGCGGCCCTGGACACTCGACGAAGAGGAATCTATTCAGCACATCAAATACGCGTAGGTGACCTTCACCATTGCCTTTCTGTTCTCAGGCTAAAATGTTAACCCCCTGAGTTATGAGGCCGGGATTCAGACCTTCGACACCGCTAATGTACGCCAAACTCAATCCCAACTTGTAACGCTGTCTCGAGCACTTAATTTCCTGATCCAGATGTACGCGAACGGACTGAGCGAAATAGTCCTCGGAAACGCAATCAAGAAACCGCAGCTTCCGCGTGAAGAAATCGTTGTAATGACCAAGGTAAGTCTTCTAGTGACACGACGACACAGCGGTGATGCGAGTACTCAGGTCCGCCACGCCCGTCGGCAAAACATTCGACGTTAAACCTCTAGATCTGTTCTTTGCCGGTCCGGACACCCTGGGCTATGTTAACCAGTATGGGCTATCGCGCAAGAATATTTTAGCCTCGGTGCAGGATAGCCTGAAGCGCCTTCAGCTCGATTACATCGATCTTCTGCAGAGTCGGTTCTTCATCAATTTCTTAAGTATTGTGGTCCCGAGTCCTGACCAACATTTAAAGGCCACCGGTTTGATTACGAAACACCAATTGCTGAAACCGTGGATGTTGGAATTAATGTTTCGTCATCTTTTCCTCATTTCTTTTCGTTAGATGGAGGCCCTGCATAAAGTCGTCAAGGCCGGATACGTTCGTTATATTGGGATGAGCTCGTGCCATGCCTGGCAGTGTGACCTCTGCAGCGTCTAAACTCCGTGTAGTTTGACAACACTATTTTGCAGTTCATGTCATGCAAAGTACGCTACAGGCGGATCCTCGAAAAGCTGTTGACGCACTGATAATGGTTTCTAGACTACTGTATGCGATCACGCACAACCTCACCCCGTTCATTTCAATGCAGAACCACTACAACCTCCTTCACCGCGAGGAGGAGCGCGAGATGATGCTTTCGCTCAAGGTAATCCATCCATTCTCCTTTTCCTTGTCTGGATTATTTTACCACCGTCCAAACCTACACTTTGGCGTTGGCTCTATCCCCTGGTCTCCCCTTGCACGCGGTGCGCTCACCCGTCCGGCGGGCGCGGCGACATCTGCAGCGGAGAAGACATTACGCCAGGAAAGTGATGAGCTATCCCCGATGTGTACCTCACCCTTGGTGCGCTTTTGAAATGTGTCGAGATGTAGCAGCAGTGGTATTGCGTGAATATCTGATTGTGAAACAAGGTCTGGCTCGAGTTGACCGCTCGACGCGAACAACGCGTATCACCTGACCGCGATGGGAAGAGAACGTGACACTGGCACTTTCTGCGCTGCATCGACCATGTCATTGTCCGCTCACCGTCTTTGTCGCTGGTCCCGCAGTAAGATCAATTTCATAATGTAATCCATTCCCCCATACCTTCCGCCACCAGTATGGAAAGACCGTACGCGGATATCCTTTACACCAACACTGTGTCCTCGGATGAAGTGATTGGAGGTAGGTTCTAGTTGGAGACCCGAATTGGACCCGAATGTAACTTGTGTACTTGGTCGAGATCTCGGCACCAACGTTTGCTTGGTTGATTTCTTCGGCACCTTGTCATCTCGCAGCTCCCTTGGCGGACACGATTGTTGATTGGATGTGCTTTCCACTGGCTTCTGAGAGAACTTGAATAGCTCCGAGATGACCGAATCACAATGCAGCGGCATATAATACTAGACCCGCATGGGAGCGGTGACAATATCATTGCAAATGTTAAGGTGGTGAAAAATCCAATTAATTCGTCCGAAATTGAGTAAACCCTAAAGGTTATGATCCCGCCTTGGAGAGGCCTTTTCCACGTCATTTTGTGTGAACAGCTTTTCGGTGATCGTACTGCAGTATGGATGAATTTCGAACTTCCACACTGAAGATACACGGTGACAGAGTACAGACGAACAGCGCATTAATGGGGTAGTGGTAACCTGGGTCGTTGCCATATACCGGGGCATGGTAGGGAATTTGTCGACCCGCCGGGGGTTCGATTCCCCCTTAATGCATTCCCGCTCTGGGTTTTTTTTTTTTTTTTTGTCTTACGGCCTGTGCTTGAGAAATCAATTCATCGAACATTGATGTGCGCCGGTAAATTCCGAGATATCGACCTCAAAGTCCGCTCGGACCGTGGAGTTTGGCTAGCGCCTGTGATCATGATTGACAGGTTTTGTGTGCGGATCCCCGGTCCGCGGAGGTGGTCTGTTCGTCCGACTGCCATTCGGTTGCTGCTAGGCTTGGTACTTACAGATCACCGCGTGTAGCCATGTCCAGAATACTCTCCCGAATCGTACAGGGATTTGGATGATTCAAGGCGTCAAATCACGATCGCAAACGAGGGCGTTCACGCGCACGTTGCGGCTCTTGTTGGGCTCTTGTGTACTCTGCGCGCCGGATCGATTCGGTCTGCTCGACGACTGGGATGGGGATGACGCGCGGGGAGAGCTGTTGCGGAGGTGTGTTATTTTGCGTTTTGTTATCGTCTTGTTCGTAGCTCTGGGTACGCGGGCTTACCATCCCACCGGAGCCTGCGCACCGTGCTGCCGTTTGTAGTTCCCGCAGGTGCCGCGCGTGCTACGCCCAACTCTGAATCTCTGGCTCGGCCCGTCACTCGGATTGCTCTCCGTGTCCTCTCATCGCAATCTCCCCTATCGATTTTTACTGACCGTTTCTTAATTTCCAGCAGTCTGCGGCGCGAAAGGGAAACGTGGTGTCCTCACCGCCGACACCCGCTTCACGTATATCGGTACTATAACGACACCATGACGCGAGGCGGCGCGTATTGGGTACGTCCTCCCTCGTCTCCTTGTGGTCTTCCGCTCGTTTGTCTTCTCTCTCCCCCTCGTCGTCGTGTTTCATTCTGCTAATAGACATATTTTCAGTGTACCTCCGCTGCGTCCATCTCACCCTGAATTCAAGTGAGAGCGTCTGCCACCAGCGACCGATCACCCACGACCTCCATCTCCTCTCTCGTCGAAACACTCGCTTGCTCGGCACGGCCTCCTCACAGGCTCAAGCACGAGCGGCACTGGGTGGGATGGTACGATTACGATCGATGAGCAGTCCAAGCACGAGCGCGGGCACGAGCGTGCCGGACGACTCGGCATATATGAGGAGAGATGGGGCGCTTTGGCATTGCGACTCTTTTTCGCGCGCTCCCAACGACCTCACGCCTCCCTTTCGCGAGCCTTCCCGACGACCTTGTCCCGCCGCCCGTGCTGCTTACGCTGTCCGCGCGAGTGCCCGTGCCCGTGCCCGTGCCCGTGCCCTCACCGCGCCCGTCACCCGCAGATGGCGTAGAGCCCGCGCGCAGCATGGATACCGCCAGCACCGACTTGCCCACCCACACCAGCACCGACGTCGCGATCCGCGAGTGCGGCACCGTCACCTCTTGAAGCAGGACCGGGACCTGCGGACTCGGATCCGAAGAGGCGGCGGGCCAGTCCCGCTCGACACGGGCATGGGCATCGCGCCCGCCCTGCTGCTCCGCACACGGCGTTCTTTCTCCTCACTTTGTCCACCGCGCCTGCGCGCGCGTCGAGATTCATCAGCTCGCACATCGAATCTATGCCGCCCACCGCCCACAGCGCATCACGCACACGCACTCGGACTCGAGACAGGCAAGATAATTCGAGACAGCGGACTCGGCTCACACGACACCGCGGGCGGGTACATCACCCGTCCATACGCACGGGCCGCTTGCTTCGTCATCGGGAAACGCGCTTGCGCCCGCACCCGGACCCGCCTCAAGATCGAGGGAGAGGGAGGGAGCAGCAGGCCCCGCGCACTCGATGCCGCGGGCATGTGCATCACCTCCCGTCCGCGCATGCGCCGCTCTCTGCGTCCCCTTCTCTAGCCAGAGCGCCTGCGCCCATGTCCTGGTCCGCTCATCCTCATCGCACATCAAGTCTTCTGCAACTCGCGCGCCACCCGGAAGCGCGCCACGCACCACACTCTGACTCCGCCCCGCACACCCCCGAATCGTCTACCGGCTCCGCATCGGCCTCGACATCAGCCTCGTACACCGGTGCTCGCCGTACCGTACTTGGTCCTTGGCGCGCACCTGCCTCAGATACTCCCTCCCTCTTCTTCCCTCCGTTGCACATTCTCCCCTGCGCTGAGCAAGCCGAGAGTGGAAAGCGGATTCCACGCGCCTCCCCACTCCTCTCCTTTCGCCGATGGCCGCGCGACAAACACAATGCTTGAAGGAGGGGCAGAGCGGGCGGGTATGCGGTTGCCGTCGAATGGCGCGCGCACCGCAGCTGCGCGCGGACGCAGGTGGGGGCGGGGAAGGGCGTGAGCGAATGGAAGCTCGAGCAGCGCAGATCCATGGACGGAAGGGAAGGGAATGGGGGATATTTGAGTAAGGACGAGCAGGAGCAAGCGGAGGTGTGAGGCAGCCGGAGGCGGGGAGAGCAGCCGGAGGTGGGGAGAGGAAGGACACGAACGATCAAGCGCGGCACGGAGCGGAGGGAGGACAACGGCGGGTACCGCGTGGGGACGCACATGTGCGCATGCACGGGAGGTAGGTAAATATGGACCTCTGTGTGGCTTCATCTGATCCCGGGTTACGCTCCAGCAGTGCGGGTGATCTTGGCTGCGCCTGTCTCTGACACAGCAAGCTCATTATCGCGAGGGAGCTGTCATGCGAGCGGCCAAGATTCTTTACAGGCTGCGCTGCAAGACCAAGGGAAAGACGGAAGCGCGAGAAGGATAGAGGAAGTCGGGAAAGCGTGAAAGACTGCGATGTGGGGTGAGCCGTTCTTTGTATAGCGTTGTCGCTTCTCCTCGTCCCTTTATATGCATTTCTTTTTTGCTTCCGCTGCTTCGTCTGGGATATGCTTCCAGAGTGATGACCCACCGACGACAATGTACTGCTACAGTATTCATGGGGTAGTGGTAACCTGGGTCGTTGCCATTCCAAGGCTTGTTTACGTTGTGGACTCGCCGGGGGGCTTCGATTTCTCTTAATGCATGGCCAGGAGTTTCAGCCCTTTTTGCCACCGCCAGAGAAAGCGCGCTAGCACTCGACTACCTTGTTGTCAATGCCTTTAAAGCAATGATCAATCGTCCCGCCTGAATGAGGCTCCTTTCTCGTTTCTCGCCGAGACCAACGTCCTCATTTTCGTCCTATTTCACCCCATCGGCTGTCTGCGCAGTTCATGTTCCGACTTGGGCAGGCGCTCGGTGGAAAATCGAAGCTAAGAGAATATATGGCTGATAAATGATCTTCGACAGTCTATCGGAATACCGATACATTCAGTTTATCCCCAAACACTAGATTTTGTGGTCGCCCGTATCCACCCTTGTAGATATTTTTCTTGGATTACTCGGCCCATCATAGGGCGCTGCCGAACTGATGTGGTCGATGCGACGATCTTCTTGGCTACCACCATGTCCTTTTTTTTTTCGGTTTTACGCTGCGCTTGAGGGATTCTTCACTGGGCTGAAACTTCGGGCTCGCGGCGTGCTGCTCCCAACTCGATGGCCGACCACTACTGGGGATGCCCTTCACTACTGCGAGATTTCGTCGACGCGTGCCAATGAATCAATTCTGTGGGAGGTGCATGAAAAGAAAACCGCGCTTGAGGTGCAAAAACTTGGCCAATAACTGAACAGGCTCCCCGTAGTTCAAGTTTGTGTGTTTCCCCTTATCTTTTGAGTATCTCTGGAGTCCAATTGTTCTTAGAATGTAGCGCGCGACCTCGCCCCCAAATGTCATGAGATTGGATCCAAACCTGATACTGCCACTCGTCAACCTCTGTTGCCCGCTATTTCTTCACCTTCCTATGAACAGTGTTCGTCTAAAGTCAAATTCGTCCTCTATCAATCTATTGCCTGCATAACAGCACGATCTTCGGGGGAATTCGAAGACAGTTCTAGAGCTCAGATTACCCAACAGCTCTGTGATCGCAATCTCGTAGCTCGCAGACGATCTTATCTCCGGCACTGCCTTCCTGGGACTCGCAACTTTTATGACAAGGCTTTTCCGCTGTTTTTTTTCGCTAGCGCGCGCGCCGCGTTAATGCCTATCATCCCCGGAAGCTCTGTCCCATTCAACTATGTACGGCGCGGCGAACAGTTCGAACTGGTCACGGTGCCACATTGACATATCTGGCTCTCGGACCCCGCGCCAGCGGTCTCAATTACGGCCGGACGGAAGTAATCTGGGCAGAAGTTCCCCGAGAATAACTTCCCATTTGCAGCCGCTGCACAATAATCTGCCAGCTGTCGGGATATATATCAGCACGGATCGTGGCTTCGATGGTGACTCTTGCACCCAGAGCTCATGGGTGAGACTCGATTCCACAGACTTCAGACTGCCCCGAAGGCGTGCAAAAATGTTCACAGACGCAGGTAGGTTGGCCATACTTATCCCGGGAACTGCATAAAATTAGCGTCGTAGAATCATTCGTGACTTCAATCGCTTCTGATGCAGCACTTAGGCACGCGTGGCTAACACGAGGCCTGTGTGCCCTTCCACTTCTCTTTGCTTTCTTCTGACCACTGAATGTCTTCTACCAGTGAAGCCGTCCTCGTGCCCTGCACAGATACCCTCCGCCAGGGATGTCGGTAGTGCGCACCCACACTCTCCTCCGCGTTCCACGACTAACACGTCGTGCATGCCAGCAGCAAAGTATGGGTGGACGGATGGGGAATATTTGGCCACTTGGATGCAGACGTTGTCATTAAGAAGATCACAGACATTATAATGGATAACAGTGTGAAACCTGAACAGTGGGCAATGACGGAGGAGGGATTCGACGAGTCTTGGATGCCGATAGAGGTGCTTCGGGAGCCCTAGACTGAGGGCTACATATCTGCCTTTATGCCGTTTATTTTGTATTTCTTCGATCCAATTTCGCGATCTTACTGCTAAGTGCAACAGATCTTTTTAGTTCCAATTGAGCACGGCTTCATCAGTCAATCGGGCCATTGTATTCGCACTGCTTCTATCAAATGCGACAGCAAGCTGTTAAGTTCATTGCCAAATGTGGAACAAGAGAAC